ACTGCTCAGAGAGTTTTACAACCAGTTCTGCTAAACTGGTGTGAACCGGCTGAATCCCACCACTGGTGGAGGCTCTCCAGAAGGCCTGCGGTGGGTCTCTAAACCACTCCGTTCTCATCTGAGTTTCCTTCCAAGAGATGGAACCCCCAAATCAGGAAGCGGGGAGAACAACAATCCTTGAGAATTCCTTGAGAATTGGAGATGCAAATGAGGACCCTCCAACCTGTGGGGTTTGAGAGCCCTAATCCCAGCTGGCTACAAGGCCCAACCAAGGCCAGGAGCCCAGGAAGTGGAGATTCCCTTCTGGAGCCATCCCACAGCTCCAACTTTAGCAGGCCCTGAATCTCATCTCCAGGTGTTTCCCAGGAATATGGGCCAGGATGGGTGTGGGGAGGGCAGCTCATAACAGACCCCCCCCTACTATCACCTGGCCAGGCCTGCAGCACCCACCAAATCCAGGAGCCCAGAAACAGACATTCTCTTCTGGGGCCACCCCACAGCTCTCTCTTTTGGAGTCTCCAATGTTGGTGGGCCCTGAATCCCCTCACCAGGTGTATCATGGGGACAAGGGCCAATGTGTGAGGTGAGCCAGCTCATAGCAGACCCCCAACATCACCTGGGCAGGCCTACAGCATCCCCAAAGGTCTGGTGTATAGAGTGACAGTGTCCGTTATCCATGGCCCAGTAATTGGGGTGGCTTCAGGTGGTTCTCAGATGCCCATAGCTGACCTCTGAAAGACTCTGCTGGCCACAGGGGGCTCCATCTGTGGAGCAGAAGCCCTCAAGGGTCCCTTCCAGCTCTGAGATTCCCAGATTCTACCATCAGGAGATCTTCTGCTCTGCTTGTCTTCACCACTGTCCACAGTCTGCCTTTCACTGTGACCCACCCCATCTGTACCGATGTGTGTGTGTGTGTGTGTGTTTACATGTATATGTATGTACACAAAGTAAGTTTAAATGTTGTATATATATCTAACATACACACACGTTATATAACTAGATCTGTCTGTCTGTCTGTCTGTCTGTCTGTCTGTCTCTATCTATCTATCTATCTATCTATCTATCTATCTATCTATCTATCTATCTATCTATCTANCCTTTCTACTCTCCTTCTCTCCTTCCTTCCCTCCCTCTTTCCCTCCTTGCTACCCTCTCCTCTTCCCTCCCTCCTTCCTCCCCCACTTTCTTCTCCTTGCAAAGAGGTTTTTAATCTAAGCTCTTTTTCTCCTCCTCCTCCTCCTCCTCCCTCAGGTATACCTGCCCATTTGTGGAGAAATTCTCCATCGATATCGAAACCTATTATATACCTGACTCAGGAGAGCAAGCCAACGTGTTCAACCTTTCCCCCGCGGAGAAGAGACACACTGTTCTGGGTGAGCTTTTGCCCTCCCCAGGCTCCAAGAATGCCGGGGAGGGGGGGGGAGACGGCAGTCGACTGGGGGGGGTCACACGCACATGCGCAGTTGGGCGGTTGAGGGGCAGTTTCCTGTGGCTCGCGCGCATTTATTCTGTCTGTCGTCCGTCCCCCCCCGTCCCCCGCATTAGATCCTATCGATATTGTGAAGGATCCCGTCCCACCCCACGAATACAAATCGGAGGAGGACCCCAGGGTCTTCAAATCAGCCAAAACATCCAGGGGTCCTCTGGCAGAAGACTGGATCCAGGAGCACAAAGACAATCCCGGCGGGTGTCCCATCATGTGTGCCTATAAACTCTGCAAAGTGGAGTTCCGTTACTGGGGGATGCAGTCGAAAATCGAGCGCTTCATCCACGACGTTGGTGAGTCTTTGGTCTCGGGGGGGGGTCTCCCGTTTCTTTTAGGGGTGGGTGGGGTCCCGGCTCAGCCTCCTTGCTGTCAGTTGCGAAGTCGTGTGTCAGGCAAGCCACCATTTTTTTTTTCTTTGGGGTCTTGGGTCCTGCCACACTTCCTGTTATCCTGCCATGCATTTTCTGTTGTGGGGAAATGGGATTGTACGGAGTTAGATGATAGGTAGCCATAACAACATTCTTTCTAGAAAGCCAAGGTCATCCTTTGTCTCTGCACCTGACCGGAATTGGAAGGCTCGCGGAAAGTCTCCGGAGGCTGGGACGGGCAAAAAGGCCCCCCTACCATCATAGTGCAGGAGGCTGAATAGCCCACGCCCACCATGGCCACGCCCCCAGCAACCGGGCAGAGAACTGGTGGCTAACATTTTGGAATCCCAGGATGCCGCTACTCAGGATGAAAGATATTTTGAAACTGAACAAACCTAGAGAGATACATTCCTTAAAAAATGAGGCCCCCAAATAGACCACCACCACCACCACCACCTCCTCCTCCTCCTCCTCCTCCTC